ATAAAAATAATATAATAATATAAAATCGATCGGATGTAAACATGGAACTACATAACACACTGAGATTTAGAGCGTAACATTCTATTGGTTTTTTAGTCCCAATTTAAATAGCAGCTTAGGTTTTTTTATAATTTTATATTTCACTTCATTGTTTACTTTAACGAAGAAAACTTTAAGTATGGAATGGTGAAGGTTTTTTTGTTGTCTATGGCTTATGGTTTCTAGTTGTTAAAATAATTTATGAAAGCACTTGAATATAGTTATTAATCTTCATTATTGATTTTCATTTCTTTGTATAAGTACCACTTACTTTCGGACAATTACTCCTCGGCCGTAAGTTCCACCATTTTCGTTGGCTCTTGGTTGAGTCTTGTTCCAATTATCACCACATGGTCCGCATTTTCCATCATTTTGTACATACTGAGACTAGAATAATCAATCATTTATTATACGTGTTTCCTACTCTGCCCAGTCATGAACATTATTAATTAATACATTCAATACTTCTTCGAGTACACCTTGTAATGTACCTTTTAATGCACCTTTAATATTTTAGGATCATGAATAATATTTTTGATTAATTGTTGTTGGTGTTAATCTCGTAAAAGATAAAATATTGTAGTGGATAGAAATAAAATTTTCTTTAACAGAGAAATGGCTTGTTGCCTAATTTTTTTAGCCGTGTGGGGTATTATCATGTTGAACCGTAAAAGGTTATAAAAAATATTTTTTATAACTTGTAACTCAATGCCCCACCAGAATTTGTATTCAATGAGAACTAAGATACACTTAGGAAATGCCTTATATTGCCTTTTAAGGACCTGCACAGGCAGTCAAGCATGTTATGGTGAATTTCTCCAAGTATGCGAGACTTTCATGCGGATCCCTACTTTGAAGTTCGTTTCAGACGACTAGGTCCATTCATCCACTGGAAAAAATTGGCTCAAAATCGTATAAGAGGTTTTTTGATATCTTGGGTACTCATCGTATCGAAAATATTTTTTGAAAGTATTTGAACTGACGACCCCTCATTGAATTTCTGTAACTGAGAGTTTAGCCATCGAAGTTCTGTTGGGTTTAATTATTTCATGTCCATCACTGAGCAACCCAATTCTTTGAATCAAAGACAATTTCTTTACCCTCATTCCGTTAAATATTTTCTTATAAGTAAAAAAATATAAGTTAATTGAAAATAATATTTTATTAAATTAAAATTTTCTTTTTTTAATTACGAATTTCTCATTTAGTTGTACGAAATGTTTTTTTGAATCGACTAAATTTGTTTCAATTAAAAGAAAATATTTAACGGAATGAGGGTAAAGAAATTTTCTTTGATTCAAAGAATTGGGTCGCTCAGTGTAACG